CATACCTCCGGATCCTGAGTGAAAATTGTTATGTCTTGTGCTTTCAGCTTACGCAAGCCGTGTAAGTGTGTCGAGTGATGCCGGTATTACTCCTTGGTCGATCCCGCTGCAGCTACTAGCAAAGCTGTTGGAGCAGTAGTGGTGATCCAATCTTGTAATTACGTTTCTAGGTGCGAGCGATGTGGGCAACGTCTCACAGCCCTCAGCTGGCCGTGCTGCAAGGCAGCATGTCGCGCTAAGCCGCGCAGGGGACAAGACATTGTTCTGCGAATGCAAAGTCAAAAGTCTCTCTGTCTCTGTCACTTGTGCCAGGTGCCACGATACACAGTTCCCAGCACTCTAGAATGATACGGATAAGTCAAACATATCGTGCAGGGTGCGGGGGAAGCCCCAGATCCCAGAGCTCTTCCCTAAACTATCCCGATGAGCGGGCCATCTTTTCCAAGGGATCTTTGTCCCGTCGGTGGACGTGGCTCTTCACGACCGGAGCATTCAGCTCCCGCATGGGCTTGTGGGCTTGTCAAACGTCACGCTCAGCTGCTGCAGTCCACCTTCGGAGACGCATTGACGGTGAAGCGGCCTCGCAGATCGTTCACGGCAATGCCATTACATCATGGTCGGACAGGATTGTGGTAAGCTGTGATAGGTCTTGAGGCTACTTGGCTTGGCAGCAGCAGTGATCAGCCATTATCCCGAAGCCATGTCAAGACTAGTCAAGGGATCTGAGCAAGGATCTAATGCGTAGAGGCCTGAATACTTAAGCTGCTTTCTGGTGCTCTATGCCATTTAACTATGTAAGGGAATGCCCCACGAAATCATACTACTAACTATTGTTGGCTTCTAACTATCTCACTATCTATCTGTCTATCGAAATTTTTGGTCGACCCTGACTCGGCAATTCAGGCGAATGAGGAAGCGAGGGTGTTGCTGATTCTTCAGCGGACTGCAAACCCCTCATTCCACATCCGCCAGGACACAGTAAAGCTCACCCCCAGGAACACCGCAAGGGCCATCCAGCGAAATCGGGGAAGGTGCCAGGTTCGCGGAGGCAAATGTCCGGCAGAGGTCGTACCTCGTCTTAGACAGGGATGCATGCATGCGTGCATGCGGGTTGCTTTCTGCAGCATTAACATGTAGGTGGCAACACGTCAAGACTTGCCCCAAGCCGGAACCCTTCAGCGTCTCAGACTTCAGAGTAGCACTGTCAGTTGTAGCAAGGATGCTCCTTTTTGGGCAAAGTCGTCTAGCATGACTTTGGCGACCTCGCCTGTCTCCTCAAGCATGCAACAGTGACAGCAGCCCTACACACTTTGTAGCCTAAGCCCATGAAGCCCGGCATATAACGTTGAGTCATGACGTTCATGTTAAACACGGGAGGCATCCCCTTCAAGGTACATCTGCTCCCTCAAGCCGTTGAGTGCTAAGTAGGTCAGGCAGAGCAACAGGACTTGTAGCTGAGAACGAGCGCATGGCATAAAACACATGCGCACCACACGCATCCACACAGTGAAAACTCTCAGCCCTGCACCTCGAAAGCCCTCCCACTGAAAGCACCATATCCTGAATCGCTACCCCGAGGAATCAACGCTCCAAACCAGAACCCCCGCCTTAAAGATAAACAACAACACCTCTTCACTGCAGACCTTCCGGGAACTACAATGGATATTGCTCTAGAGTCAGGCTTCCTCAAGTTTGCAACGGCTGCTCTAGATTAGAGTTCCCTCTTTCAGGGATTTGGCGGGGGGAGCCATAGTTGCTGGAGGGTTTTTCGAGGTTTAACTGGATGGTATACCTATGGGCCTAGAATAGCTTTCCCCTTCAGGTATACTGCTTCAGAGCTTTACGGGTTGATTTCTCAGGCTCTCTCGGGCAGGTAGGTGGCCTGCAAGTAGAGAAAGGCCCTCAGAGGAGCCATGATTCAGTGTGCCTTGACCAACACTAACATCCGCAGACACCAAGACCTCCCTGAACCCAGAAACTTTTGGATTCCCCTTAAATGCAACTTTGTCGGTTCCTCCTCGAGGAAAGCCGTGCCGATGAAACCGCTGCCCAAGACCCGTAGACCGGTAGGGCAAAGGATTCTTGGCAATCAGGGGTGGGTGTAGGGAGAAGTTCTGGAGAAGGGGCGCTTGGAGTTTATGGCCTGGGATCATTCAGGGTTTTAAGGTGTGGGTTTTCGGAGATATTAGTAGCGTGCGCGGAACGAGAGTTTCGCACGATGTCGGACACCAGCACGTGATCTCAATCAGAGTCTGTTCAGCCACAGTGAAGCTTCTGATCCCAGTTCTTACAATCTGGCTGTGCTTGGGTCTGAGATATACGTAACACTCAGCCTGCTCAATTCATCCTTGGCCTGGGCAGCCAAACACGCACCGCAGCGCCATGGTAGGATGCACCCCGCTGGCCGGGGTACAACCCGAGTTACCCCTGGTACCAATCGCTCACTCATATACTGCAAAAACAAAGCAACAGCACTCTACATAAATGATATTTTTATGCTCATGTTCGTATTTGCATATGTTTCTATCATTTTCTATCTATACTTCTACCTTGACTTAGGCATGTATTACCATCTATTCGCGTGAATGGGTGTTTATATTCCTGCAAGGCATACTTCAAGCAAACACTGTATCGTGCAACACTGACAGCGCTATCTAAACCGTTGTATCAAGACCCCCCCCCCACACACACACACACCCATCCACCCATTTACCCATCCACACACACACACACACACACTCACACACACCCACAACACCCCTACCCCCACCCCCACCCCATGAGATGTAACCTGGGCGTGTATCCCCTCTCTGAGGCGTACAGGAACACAGGCACACAGGAGTCTCTTTTACTACAGGCGCACAGCTGTAGATCGTACTCTGCTAGAACCTTGAGCAACAGGCATG